TATTGTTCATTTAATTTGACAAAATTATTGTAAATCACTCCCGTTTTAATTGATGATTAAAGATAAAATCATGGGAATAAATTATTAAATTTCTACAGATATCCACGTTATTCTACATTTTTTTTTTTTTTCTTACCAAACCATTAGGTATTTTCTTTTTTAATTATTAGTGCGATTAAACGGATTAAACGTGTGACATTGGAATGCTTTGACCTTAATTCAGGTACAGTGTTATACTAAATTTTAATTTTTGTTGTAACCAAAACAACGTTTTGTACGGTAAAAATTTGCTGATTTATTGTGAAATCAATTAACTTACAATTTCCGATGCTGCATCTGTCAGTGATTAAGAAAAAACATAAGACTGTGATTTCAGATTGAAACACTACGCACTACTTGGACCAATCATTACGTGATCAGGATAATTCTTGCTTTCAGGGATTCTTATTTGCCATAGTGTCCATGTGACAATAAATAACCAAAGACATGTTCTCATAAAAATAAATCCACCATTTGCCGAAGTACATTCACGTGTAAAGCAAATAAGGAACATGGGAAAGAGAGCGGGAACGGGAAAGTGAGTTCTACTCGTACGGTACACAACTTGTCACTACTGACATTGCTTTCGCGTAACCATCGGGTTATTTGGAGCAAACACGCTTGGGCATTGTTTTCCTCGGCTCGTCTTCTCCCCCTTTCTCATTTCCAGCTTCGCAGGCTGTTTATTTACCAGGAGAAAAGAATCTGGCTATCCCGAAACAAATACCCCAACCCTGCGATTTTCCGCGATTGTTTTCTCTTATCTTCTTCACTGACAGGTTGTGCTTATTCCCCCCCCCCCCTTCATCCCATGCGTGTGTTGTTCTCTCAGCCTAAGAATTTTCTTCGGCCTCCCCGGAGGAAAAACAATCCAGGCCGGTGATTCTTTTAAAGCCTACCCCATTCCTCTTCTGTTCGGATTTTGTTTGGTGAAAAGCTTTTTGCAAAAAAATACGACCTTTTGCGTGCGGAAATTCCTAGCGTGAGTGATACCTGGTACAGTATAGTATATTAATAGTGGCAATGAATGCTAAATTGATAAAATTAGTTTAATAGTTACTTGGTAAAATATGCAAAACCACTTTTATTTCAAACTACAATCATCTGAAATGCACAAGCTTGTCATGTCGTAATGATGTTGGCAATGAGACGCGTAAGATAAAATTTTCTCGTCAAAACGGTTACTTTACCAGCTCACTGTAAAGAGTTGTTTAAAGTTCATTGAAACGATTTACTATCCTCCGTTTAACTGAGAATTCGAATTGATGATTGAGGCGTATCCATATATATTTATTTTAATGAGTTCGTCAAGTCTATGGCAAACTTGCTAACATACATTATATAGGTGATGAACCCATTGCAACACTAATTTCAGTGATTTTTCTGGCTGTTGTCAAAGTAAATCAAAAAATTAGCAAAGTAAATGTTTATCAAGATTGTCCAACCATAATCGCAGTTCTACAACAAAGAAAGTCCAAGCCGTCTCCACGCCTTACCATACTCGACAACATTGAAACCAGCAACATCAATCAGCAACACGTACCGAGATCCAAACTTGATTGTTAGAAATGGTCTCGCGAAACATTAATTAATCCGCCCCAAGTGCGAGATATTCCCGAGCATCGGAACCGATACTGTTTCAAGCAGTACTTGTAACATTACATACACGCCCAAGCCAGAAGCTCGCGTTATCAGATCCGCCGCTACGTATACCTATCCGCACGAGATTAATTAGTAGCGAAATCTCGCCACGCTCAAACCTCATTATCGTGCCACTCTACGGTAGCGCATTACCAACGTCTTCGTTATTTTCACGAAAGCATTTCCGAGGTATCGGTCGGCTACACCCAAAACGACGACTCGATTGCGAGTTAAACGCAAAAGATGATGATAATGATGTGAGTGTTCGAGGAGGGGGAGGTTGGGCAACCGAGGGAAACTCGACGGGGATGAAAAAGCGGCAAAGACGGAGAAGGAAACTGATCATTACATACGAGAAAGCCCAGCACCACCGGCGGGGGTTAATAACGTAGTTCAATACTCGCTCGCTACTAATGAGGGGTCATAAGCTTATATTGCCTTGATTTCTTTTTATTCGGATGGTCGGGCGTTAGTTAGTGGGCAAACGCGTCTGATGTACGCGCGTACATTATCGTAACGATAGTGTTATGTGTAAAGGTCGGAAGGGAGACCAGATTTGCGTTTATCATCGCCGCTGTAAGGGGAAATAAAGGTTCAGTTACGAGAGCCATTGTTCCGTTGTTTTACCAATAATGACCTGGTTTTTCTTTTCGAAACATTTGTTGGGTTGCCCAGAGCAATCATGTTTTTTGTTTTACGCGAATAAAATGCAGGAAGACAAATATTATCTTCATTAAGCTCGTGAAATATAAGACGTTTATTATATTCGAACAAGTTCCATTACAGTCGATCGTTCTGTTTGATTTACGGATACAAGTCTATAAATGACCAATGAAGCGCTCTACAGATACGTCGTATTGTTGATTTTTAGTAAAAACTAACGTGTAAGTATTTGCGTAAGTACATTTTATGTAAAATGTACACTAAAAATCTAAGTGTGTTATTCCAACCAACATAAGTGTGTAATTTTCTGTAACACTTTTACTAAATTTTAAATAGGTAATTTTACACTTCACAAGTGTGTACTTACCATAATTTATACACATGAAATGTGTAAAAACAAACCTTTTTAAGTGTGTAAATCATAAATGCACACTTTCAAAAGTGTAAAATTACCCAGATTAAAGTGAGTAAAAAAGTGTTACAGAAAATTAACCACTTAAGTGGGTTGAAATAACACACTTCGATTTGCAGTGTAACAGTGGTCTAGAAAATAAGTAATATATCGAATTCTAAATTGATGGACGATTATGAAGTCTGTTTCTAATTTCCTTCATTGTTTATTTTTGTTCCACGTTGTACCTGTACATTAGCTCAGATATTTAATCTTACATGGTTAATCCCAAAAGTAGTCCTCTCCGTTGATCACTGATTATTTCCCATTCCGAATACACGTGATGCAGTTCAAAAATTGTCCATACCAATACAGATGGACATTTTATTGGCCATAAATGTTGAATGTATCGTCGTCGACACTCCGGTCGAGTGTGCGTTTTCAGCTCGCTTAACTTTGAGCCAAGAACCTCTTGCGAAGTCTCCTCTTTCATTTCCATTGTGCTTGCGACGAGTGCCCCTCGCCGGAGTTTCAAATAAAAACGACGAGCTGCCAGCCGTACTCTCCGGAAGACCGACGCGAGTAAAGGTTGAAACGAGAAGAGGTGAGGGAAGAGAAAAAAAAAAGCGAGTGGATGGATTCTCTCGTGTCTCCAGATCGGATGGCTGGAAAGGAGGTGGCGGTGGGATATAGAAAAGCGTGAGCCGTTGAGCGGTCGGTCCTTCGTTTTCCTCCTTTTCCCGCGAGGGGATACAAGTGGTGCGGCGGCAGTGGCCAGGGGGTAGTCTTATCCGGCAGCTAACATCCGGCCGAGCAGCGCTTAGTCCTCGTGTATTATTTATCTCCCCCGCGAACGTATATGGATTATGGAATCCGTTTGTCGTCGTCGTCCCCTTTACCTTCCACCAAAGCCCGCTGACACCAAATGTCGCGCACGTCATCCTTTTCCAAGTCGCGGCTGCTTCTTTTCCCTTTGCTTGTAGTCTCTTTTTTCGATTTCTCCGCTAATTCTTCCATCTTGTCCCCGGCAGAAGTTTCTGCGGGAAAAGCGTCTTCTTTCTCCCTACTCTTTGTTTCACTTGTTTGTGGTTTTCTATGCCCGAGTCGCAGGATACGCGCTGCAAACAGTTGAGCCTTGACGTTGACGCTGATGGCTACGTTATAATACGTGTATATTATGCTACGCTGGGTACGATTTTCTTATTCTGCCGCTTTTGGTTTTCGCTTCAAAGTTAACTTGTTTATTCCGCAGAAATGCTAATTTTGTAAGAACTATTTTGGAATTACAAGAATGTAGAAGTTGATGAAGAATATACCTTTAAAATTAGGGTCTATAGAGTACAGAAAATTTTTCTAGACATTGAGGTAAAACGAGGTTAACAAAGATGTACGTGTGAAAATTCTCGTTGATATCACCATGATTAGTTTTCGTATCACTTGGCATGTGTGATTCAGAGCTAGTAACTTCTTTTGCTATACTTAACATTTTCAATAAAACTTCAATAAATCACTCGAATGCGGTTAAATCAAACTTATTATTCCAGCAATCTAGTTGTCAAATTGACCAAATATCATGTACTCGATTCTCTGGGGCACTTGACCAAACTCAAACATAAGATGTGCTTTCGTATACGTGAAATTTTCGAGAACGAGATACTATACAGCATTGAGTAAAACTCAAAAGAAAAAAAGGTAGTACTTAAACGAGTCTCCCTGCTCTCTAAATCCTCCTAGCGGTGATTATTAACTCTCCAGCAACTAAGTCGTATCGTTCTCTTCCTCCCAAAGAGCTGCGAGAAAGGCTAAGCCGAAAAGGGAGGCGCCTGCCACTGGACGACAACGGGGTCGTAGGTACAGTAAAACGCACCCTCTTCCTTTGATCAACCATACCTCCTCCTCCCCGCAATCGCAGGGAGTAAGCTACTTGTATTACTACTGCAGCTTTTACGCGGATTATGCGGTACGTTTTTTCGGTCGATTTCTCGAGATTTCCTTCCTTTCTCCTCGCTGGGTTCGGCTCGCGATTTCCACATATTTTTTCCCCCGCCGTCGCAGTCGGGTCGTACATATTTAACGCGTCTCGAATTGAATCCCGAGCCCTTTCTCCCCCCTCCCCACGCCGAGTGATGGACGGTAAAATTTAGAGGTCTCTCGCTACGCGATGAGGTTGAATGTTTGAATAGCGGATTGGAAAGTGTTTGCGGAAAAGTGTTTTTTTTTTTTTTTTTATTTTTAAGAAAACGTTTGCTCTTTTTTCTGATTGCAGAGGGGCAGCGACGAGCTACTGTCGCAGAGCGGAGGCGCAGTCAATGGCGCAGCGATGAGTCCGCAGCCGCACCACAACGCCGAGAACAACAACGAGGCCAAAAAGGTGAGTCGCTTCTTTTTGTCGTTGTTTGTCCGACTTGTGTTGGTAAAAAATTTGTACGATCGATTATATCTATAAATTTTATAGAATATGCGTAAAATAATACATTCGATTATGGTACTAACGATGAAACGCGCTTTTAATTATTTTCGTCTCAGTTGTGAAACCGCGCTTAATGCAATCTTCATCATTAATTGTGACTATAAAACCAGTATAATTTTTTATCATAACGTGTTGTCGATTTTTTTAGAAACAAAATTGTATGAAGAATGGTTTAGTTTTCTATTCCCTTTAAATTTGATAAGTTAACATAATGTTTGATTGAATTAAATATAAATATATTATTAGTTTTTCAGAGTATAAAAAAAATCAAGTAGCACTACTTTTGATAGTATTTGTATGATCAACTCATTTTGTTTTAATTTTCTCTGCAATTTAATTCAATTTGTCCGCCAAACAAAACACTTGACCTGTTTCAGCCAATTACACAACGAATAAAAATGCTTCAGTCACGTGACAATCAATCTTTTAAGATAGTAGATTTTTTGAAACAAGTTCGTGAAGAATCGCTTCGTCATAGGTGCTTTTGTCTTCTTGAATAGTTTCGCTGTTTAAAAGAAAACTGAAGGTGAATTCCAGAAAAAAGAGGGGAAACGTAAGCACCAATAAGCGAAAGAATTGTGTGTTATTAGAAAAACTCCCTAATGATCACGTAAACGTTATCGTAATAAAGTAAAATGGAGGATTGTTTGGTGTTGTCAAGTCTCAGTTACAAACCCCCTTCAACGATTCTCTCTTGTAATTGGACAGCAATACCTTTAAAGTTTCCCACGCAACTTTGTTACAGCGTGACATTTATCAAGTTTTCGCTTGAAAAATAAATTGAAAATACACAAAAAAAAACAAAATCCTCGGCTTTTGAGTTGAAAACAAAAACCCTTTTTCGATTCTTTTCCACGGCCCCAAAAAGCACTCGAAATTCAATGAAAGCGATGAATCGAAAAGCCCTTCCGGTACATACAACGTCAAATAAAAAAAAGCTGCGCGCGCTCTTTCTAGTTTTAGAAATCATCGCAAGCTCAACGCGCGCGCACGCGTGTATATCACCAATTTGTCGAATGGAGCTCTATTGACGCACCTGATCGAGTACTATGAGCGCAAGAGATGCGAACTCTCGTTGACCTCGTTTGGCAGCGCCCTCATTGGAGCCCAATACCATTGGGGTGGGTATACTTTGCTTTTTCAACTGCACTCGAGTGCGTATCGTCCCTTTCACGCGCGCGAGTTTTCGATACCTGTGTGTCCGAGACGTGCATGCGAGTCGAGGAAAATTCAAAACCCCTTTTTCCCTTTGCGCGTGCGGATTAATAAATAGAGTGCAAATGAAATTAGGGCTTCGCGCGAAGGTGGTTCGGTGTATTGGATTCGATTTTTTAGGTTAGGTCGATGCAGTATCTTCCTTATCGCTCTGTTGGCTATTCATGTAGTCAAAGAGTAAAATAAGGCTGAGCATACTTTTTATTTCTATCGAGGAAATTTCTATCAAGTTAAATATTTGTTTGTGTAGGCATTTGTTTATTTATGTACTATTGAATGCAAGGATTTACTATTTTTATAAAGCAGCCCCTCGACTTCAGCTTCGATATTCCGAAACCATAAAATTTTCTCATATCTCGGTTACAAACAGTGTCTTTACTCATAAATTGAAAACTACTAGAAGGTCTACTAAAGTTACTAGATCAAGAAGAAACGAAAAAGAAAAACAACTAGCACATCCAGTCACTCACTTGCGCCCCAACGTGCGCTCGCAACATTTTTCCTAACATCCCGAGCATCGCGAGTTTTTGTTTTTCGTTTCCCAAGCCCGTCGCCTCGAATACATAAATCATCGTAGTGTATAGCAGCTCGTCCTTCGCAACGAAAAGAACTTGAGAGTCGGGCAGGTGCAACACCTATGCCGCATCCCGTCCCAACCGCGTGCAGTTTTTCATAAATATTCCGAAAAGGAGGAGCCCTCGCTTTTGTTCATTCTCTTTGAGGAGCGCTAGCCGATCGATCGAGCTCCACGGAGAAAACGAGGTTGCACACAATCCTTCCTCCCTTTTTGCACGCCGTAAACGCGCGAATACGGTCAAATATTTACGTATCCGTCTCTTTTTCGTTTCGCGCGGGGGTGTGTGTAATATTCGCCTGGCATCGGTGAGATAAATATTTCATTGCTGGCTGGTGCACGAGTGATTTTTTTTAGGAGGGGTTCTTGCATCCGTCGCTTTTCCCGAGCGGGCAAATGTACGCGAATCTTACTTGCTGGTCCCTTGGGGTTGCATAAACAAACATCTCGTCACAGTATTTTAAAAGACAAGTTAAGGCGCGATACACCATGACAACAGAGCGCTTTTTGGAGAAATTCTTGTTTGGCGGAGAATTTTTTGCTGTGAACTTCGATTTTTCTTGACTTGCATGGACAGGTGTAACTCTTGCATTCTAGAGCGAATCGGCATTCGGGGTTCTCTAATCCCTCATCATTCACGATAATGAAAGAATTATTGAGATAAAGAAAACAAAAAATAACCCCATCATTTTTGTGTACTTGGAGTAAAAAAGAAACCCTTTGATAATTTTTTTTTTTAAATTGAACTTTGTGTCTCCAAAATAGTGACAAGTTTTATCAGCACCTTTTTAGGCCAGAAAATGTTGAAAAAGTGATTTGACAGAGTTGCTAGAAAACCCCACCGAGTTTCATGGCCTAGCGTCTCCGATCATGTCGAACTCTCAAAAGGAAATCAACGACAAGGTGACCAATGACAGAAATCTAACTCAACGCGATTGATTTTCACCATGTGCTGCTCATGATTGCTCATAAATTTTCGAATCTCGTGCAAAACAGCCAATATTTCTCCAAGTTCCACCATCGAGTATGGGGATGGCGACCCTGCAAACTAATTTCAGATGGCGCAATCGGTACTTAGATTCTACCCAATGAGATGTGAAAACGGTTTATGCACGAAAGTATCTACGGTCCGCAAACTCAGCATAGATGGCGTACTGTAGCTAAGAGAAAAATTGCGGGGCATTGACAAAAATATACTATTCGTGATCGCCTGACATCAACGTGACGGAGATGTTGTCTCAAAAGTACGTCCACATACTATATTGTTGTCACTTAGCAATAGTGTGTCAGTGACGCCATTTTTCTTTCAGCTACAGTACGCCATCTATGTTGAGTTTACTGGCCGTAGGGACCTCATACTTTCGTGCACAAACCGTTTTCACATCTCATTGGCTAGAGTCTAAGTACCGTTTGCGCCATTTGAGGTTAGTTTGCTAGGTCGCCATCCCCATACCATCGAAAAAATAAAAGCTACAACAAAATGTCCTCACATACGTGCATCAATTTCAAATCTACTCGCAATAACAGTCACAATGTCCACATCCACCGCCAGAAATAAAGATGCATCGCGCAGTGAATGGAAAAAAAAGAGGGGGCTCTCGGAAATCCGAGGAATCCACCTCCTTGAGACGTTAATATATTTTCAAGAGGGCGCTCATCTCGCCCCGGACAAAATTTTTCTTGATACGGCTGCCACGTAGTCCCGAAATTCAGAAGCTCCGCGAAAAGGTACGCGAGCCGATGAGATTCCCCGGGAGCCCGCGAGGTATTTCGGTGCCCCTCTTGCCCCTCCGCGTCGAATTTCCGGCGCATGAAAGGAAGCAGAAGCGCTCGATCTACCGTGACATCCGAGCGCTCGCTTTATTACTGCTTCTTCTTCTTCTTCTTTTCCCATCCCGAGCACTGCGAAGAAGCTCTACTTTACCCCCACCTCCCCCGTATGCGTGTCTTTTCGATCAAACTGGCGGCAGATTTTCCGAGCTATTAATTGCGAGACACTCAAGTTGATTTTTGCTGGTCTATCAGGGGTCGATCGAACCATCATGTAGTACTCGCTAACAGCCCCTAAAAATCGTGGTGGTCAAACACTTATGGAGCAACAGTCGATTGCGGTGAGATGTCGTCTCGAGAGACTTTATCATCTTTGTCGACACGCAAGAGATATCGCTTGTTGTTTCGTCTCCAAGAGGAGAAAAAGCGACATTAAGAAGTCGTTACGGAACTCACGAGTCAGCAAAGTCAATTATCGGGAGGAACTTTTTCTCCCCTCTTGGACTTTTATTGCGACCAGAGTTTGACTCTTATTGTCGCTGGTGGTGATGATGGCTTTGTAACGTGCTGCTTGCTGCCTCCGATTTTTTTTTTTTTTTTTTTTTTTTTTTTTTTTTTTTTTTTTTTTTTTTTTACTTACGTTGACCGAACTATGTAACATGTCAACATTCAATAAGAAAGGACAAATTTCCTTTTCTTTTCATTCGATCGTTTAAGCTGCGAAATTTTTCATTTTTTTTTCGATCAGTTGCCCCGTGACGAGTAAAATCCTTCGATCGTCACGTAAGGCAAGATTTACTAGATTTCGAAAAGAAAATCCCTCCCTGTAACTAAGTGGAGCAGCGCCGCCCAAAAGTCCCATCAGCCCGACGAAGAATCAAACGCAAAAAGAAAAATCCTCCCGTAATCCCTTCCGTTGATCAGCAAAATCCCCCTTGATACCCAATCGAGTCACTGTCGTTGGCCCCCCCCCCCTTCTGTCGAAAGAACAATTAATTAATACGCGGTGCGGCCACGTGGTGTGTCCCAGTCAATACCGACAATAGCCCACCACCTCCCTGGGACCAAATGGAACTCCATTACGAAAAGAGATCAGGTCATACGGTAGGCTGCAGGGAAAAAGCCACCAAAAGAGAGCAAGAAAGACGCGACATTGATCAGGAGCGCTTACACGCGAGTCCATTAAAGATGGAAGCCGACCGGAAGGTTGGCTCCTGCACGATGCTCCGCCCGGGGATGGATCTCATTTTCCGGATTAGCGACGACGCAAAATCGGCCTTTTATGCCACTGGCTTTTATGCGCTAATAAAAAAGGGTCATCCCTCTCCTTCGAGGGAAAAGA